CCCCCCCCCTCCGGGCACTATATGACACAGGAGAATAAAATGCTCCAAGGTCACGCATAGTATACACTTATTTCAATAAAGTTAGTCACCAAAAAACCTAGAAAGCTGAGATCACTGAGGATCATGGGAAACTTTTAATATCAAACAAGTAAAGCTTTTGATACAATTTGCAGCTTGAGGATGCTCAGAAGAGGTGAGACTGTAACTGGTAAAAGATCTAAAATCCATCAACAGTTACTAAAGCGGTTGAAACATGTAAAATGTATCTACCCATAATCCTTGTTGGTCTCAGCTTTGTAGCTTTTCGGGCGACTAACTTTATTGAAATAAGTGTATAACAGTATGCAATGATATAATATTTATTCGCGGTTAAATAAGGGAGATAGAAAGACCTACCTAATAGATTTTAATTGATCGCAAAAATCACATTAGTACTCTCTGCCTGATGATGCAGCATTTGTATTTTATAACCGTTCATAAACGTCACCAAAAAACACGTTTATCATAAATTAATCAAAACATTGGACCATTGCAAATAGTGTTCTTATTGGCTAAGCTACTATTGGTCTATTTTTCAACGTTGCAATACTAAAGAAAAAAAAAACATTTTAACATTGAATTTTTTCGTTCCTTCGCTATAATTTGCCGGATTTTTATTTTAATGATAATGTTTTAGTTTAAATGATTCTTGTTGCATTAACACTGGACATGTTTATGCCGATTATTCCCGTTCTTTGGGCTTCATAGGAATAAAATAAATTAAGGATTTATATACAAAGAAATATATGTAGCAATGTTTAATGTTGAGTGTATGACGTCACAGACTCCAAAAAATAATCGTAAAAATATCATACTTTCGTCCTGAATATCGAGAAAACACTTCATACAGTGATTAYTGGACCTTTAAAGAGTATTCTTAGGAAGTTTCAGCTGAATCTAAGTTTGAGCGATTTTCGTCGTAGTAGCACTTTAAGAAAACTAAATGCACATGCACTTAGGATTCCTAGCTGTTGCCAAACTTATCCAAATGAGACGCATAACTGCGTGAACTCGACCGGCTTCCTAGGACATAACTATGTAGTAATGTGGATGGAAAAGATGAAAAAGGGAATCTGACGTCCCCTAAACATCACATTCTCGCTGGATCTCGGTGGTTGTAATGCTGTAGCTATATGCTTGGCAACCGTTAACAAAAACGTCTAAATRCCCGTTCGATATCTGAAGTAAAACTGTCATTTCGGTTTAGGTAAATATAGCTCAAAAAACGCTGACAATTGGAAAGGAAAAGAAAATGTAAATATCAGCGATCAGATCAATCAAAGTCCCCTATTGACCAAACATATATATTATGTTAAGGGTTCTCATGGATGAACTTGAAAACGAAATCCAAATATTAATTACAAATATATAACGTTYCGGGAGAAAGGTTTTGGCTTGCAGCCATCAAAYATGATGTTGCAAAACCTCTATTGGAGTCAAAAGCGTGCGGTTTGGGGAATTGGAAGGTTTCCTTCATCTTGGTCTGTGTTTACCCTTATAATAAGCAATTCCATTTACAATGTCATTGATGAACTGCTTCCGAATGATAGATGCAAGCCAAAGCCTTTCACCCCGGAACGTTTCAGTTTTCGCCTGAGTTCAGGGTCTATCCTGGCAGACTTAGTACATGGCATAGTCAGAGTTTAATTTTGGGAAAGTAAAATAAAGTGAAGCGAAGGACGTATGTGTATCCAAAAAGTGAAAGAGCGAGATTTTCTTTGAGATGGAAAAGCTTTATTGCATTGGAAAACCCGCCACTGTTACATATAATGATGAAAAGGTTAAATTATACACCGTGAAAAGATGAAAAAACTTACTGACGTTTCGGACGCTAGTCCTTCGCTAGTCCTTTGACTCCGACGAAGGACTAGCGTCCGAAACGTCAGTAAGTTTTTTCATCTTTTCACGGTGTATAATTTACCTCCTCATCATTACTGTTTCATTAGAAACACCGACGCAGCTCACACTAACTGTTACATATAGTAGTGTCAACTAAAGCTTCAGGCAAAATGGCCTTGCACACGTGCCTCTGGAACCCAGGGTACCTTGAACGAAGCATCACAATAAAATCTCAAAGTAAGCGATTTGCCACTTTAGCAAATTTAGAATCATAACAATGGTAATTTAGCATGGATCTTATGAATTGCCGGGGTTTTAAGCAACTTAAAAAAGGCGTGATATGTAAGTACGGTGATACTGATTACGATACTCGAAGCTCAAATGAAAGTATGACACTTGAGCAATGGGAGTTTAGGTATTTAAACAATTGTAAAAAGGAGTGGGTGAATCAAAAGTGGAGAACGTGGTGAGACTGAACTGCCTGACTCTGGCAGTGAATGGGAAAGTCGGWCGTAGGAGTCTAGGAGTGTTTCGGGTGTATAGGGATTTCAACTGTGAAGTGTGGGAGACGAAAGAGAAACCTTGAGTGATCGAGTTCCGCACACAAAACGTAATTCAAAAAGACTATCAAAAACCAACGCAAATTATTAACCACATACAGCGAAACAGTTTTTGGACGGGATTTTTTGTCACCAGGAAAAACTAATTATACAATTGCACATTAACTGGTGACGGAAAAAGTTAATTTCATGGTACCCTGAAACAATTTCGGATCGAGATGATCTACGTCCGGAGCACGGCTATAACTCCGCTGCACTGAGATCGAAGCCTGAAACACTCCTCTGCCGGGCTCAGTGATCTAAGTCAGGGCACTGCTAACTCACAGACAGAACCCTTAAACAACCTCTGGGCTGATGTAAGTCAGAGCCGTGGCTAACTTACAGATTGAACCCTGAAACACTCCTCTCAGTGGGCCGATCTATTCAGGGCATGGTTAACTTACGGATGATCTTGGAACAACTAAATCAGGGCTGATCTAAGTCAGGGCACGGTCACACTGAGATCGAACCCTGAAACACTCCTTTGGGTTGATGTAAGTCAGAGCACGGCTAACTCACAGATCGAATCCTGAAACAATTAACCTCTGGGCTGATCTAGGTCAGGGCACGGCTAACTCACAGATCGAATCCCGAAACAACCTATGTCCTAGTTAGTTAGTACTACTGCTCTAGGCCGATCAAAGTCCTGCCACGCGGCTAAACTTACTGCGTGATGGGCTTTGAAGAGGACTGAAAACCGTCCGTAGAAAACCGCTCCACTCACAGAGACAAACCGACGTACGATACCATGATGATACTTAGTACTAGACAAAATTAATTCATTAACTTTCCATGCTGATTTACACTTAGTTTGACAACCAAAACAAAAGGTGGAATGCTCAGTCTTTTCTTCCAAACCACCCTTAAGTAAACACCATAGGTTACTGGTTCATTCATGCCAGAAAACACAAAAGGACACAACTCACTTCTTTCTCTCGCCTTAATTAGTTTTTATAAGTGATTTTTAATAGAGTTTGTGTCGAAAAAAGTTGGACGTCTGTCTCTGTTACAACAAAACTCTCGTCGAGGGTTAAGTGAAAGTTTATCTAGTTAACAAGATTGAGGGCGGTTTATTTTCAGTCTATAAACCGACATATACTCTTGTCTGCCTCGACCACCGTGACGACACTATTCTGGTATTCTCAACCCAATCATATCGGATGTTTGTTTTACTTTATTTATTTATTGTCCTTCATAGAAATTAGTAACTCAAATGTGTGGGGTTTTTAGGATAGAGCGGTTTGAAAATTTCTGGTCTTCTTGTTCTCAAATTATTTGATACTCCGGCGCTTTATTTTCGGGATTCAGATCAATGTTCATTGACTGTCAACTTTAGATTAGCTCCAAGGAAACAGCCTGATGATGGACAGCTCATAGCTTTGATTTTTTTGATGCAATTTGATATTCTTCTCTGGCGTGTGGCGATCTTTATGACATATCGATAACAGAAGCCCAGGTCACATCGGATAACACTGAGTCTTTGCTGTAGTGTGTCTTCGAACCCGAAAAAAATTGCTGTGTAGAATCGAACAAGAAGAAAAAGAACAATGCATCTGATGAATGTAATGGTTAAGGGAAGAGTTCTTAATATTTTATTGCCTCTACTTAGTCTGTTAAGAGTTGAAAGAACCGTGGCAAGTTCACAGGAGACCTCTTCTAATTTTACCGTGAGTCGAACTCCAGGATTCGTAGATTCTTTTACTTTCAAAGCTCCGAAGTCTGGAAACACGAACTGTTCTCTAATAAACCCTGATATCTGCGCTGCTTATGGAGGCATTAAACAGGAAACAAARTGTGAAACTAAAGAGCTATGCTGTGAGGCTTGCCGATGTGTTAAAGATAGACCAACGTTCCTCGTGCACAAACAAAGATGCGTTGAGGACAAAGATATTACCGAGAAGTATGGTCTAAGCAAGTCGGGTAAGTTAGAACCTTGGTTCGTACTTTGTCAAGTCCATGCAAGTCCCAATTCTGTTTAGTTAGATTGATCTAATTTCCTAAGTTATGTGGCGAGATTTGAATAAAAATAGCGACAACACTGGTCTTCGATACGCGCATAACCAACACAATGAATTCTATATTCTATTGTACAAAACTTCTCAGTTGCGGATAAACTTTATTTTCGATTAATACTTCTTAAGGAAAAACTCTATCAAAAATCCAGAAACTAGTACGTTTCTTTGCTTGGTTGAATTTGAACAAAAATGGGGTGTTTCTGTTCAGAAAATAAAAGACAACAATATAGGAAATAAAAAAATTCGCTGGAGCTCTGGTGTCATAAAATTAATGTCACCCCATTCGAATGTCTATATATAAATCATGCACATCTTTACACTTTTAATTTTATTTCTGTCAATGAAAACATGTTCATTCAAGCTACAAAAATCCTTAAAATTTACTGTGTGATTGTCCTCGCCTTTAAAAAGGCAAGAACGAGTTCCAAAGGACTTTATATGGTTCAGTTCGAAGGCCAGGGTGAGGCCATTTGATTCCTATCCAATTGAATTAATTTTTTCTTTCAAGTTTTAAAAATATTGTTCAAAAGCTTTGTGGTTTTGATGCTAATATAAAAGGAAAGTTTTAAAGTTTAGTAATGGTTATATGGGCTTGGCTAACAGCTGATATTTTAATACCCTTAAGTAAACACACAAAGAGTTCAGCTCATCGTCAAAGAAAACGTTCTCCTTTGAATGGCGGCTTTCTCGACCTTTCTGTTTCGGCGTTTCCTAAAATATCCACATCTTTTGTCTAATTCACTGAGACCAAATCAGAGTTTATGGCTATGTTTGCGACGAAGAAAGATGATTTATGTTGTAATATTTAGAATAAAATACAGGGCTTTAAACGTATGGTATACACTGGGTATAGCAATTTGCTAATTTGTTCCCTTTCGCTTTTTGTTACCCTTCACTCATTTGTCAGATAGAAATAAGGTTGTTTCACTTTCTTAAACTTTATAGATCTCTACAATTAGTAACCATTCTCAATCATCAGGAATTATCATGAATGATTCAATGTATTCTAAAGTCATTTTTTGAACCGCGCTTAAAACGATGTACACAGGGCTTAATTCAAGGTTGTTCGAGTAAATTCACTGATTCGTGTCCATTTGTTTGCTCACGTCCATCAGGTAAATATAGAACGAATTTTTCAGTTTCCTTTTTGTCCAAAACCCTCTAAGTCTATTAACAGACATTAAATCTGACATAAGACAGTGAAAAGCCGTGTCTATCGTTCTCGTTTTAAAAACTTAACCAAAAATCATAGCATTGACATTGGTGAGCTAACCGCTAACCACTTTTGACATATTCGCAAAGCGTTCCTTGCAAATATACCAACTGTTTATAAATGTCTCTTTGAAGTCAGCGCTCCTTAATGTTTTCTATCAACATTACCTCGTTTTGGCTAAAGCTGTTTCTATCGAAAAGAGTATAGAGCTTTCCTCTTGATTAGCTCAGAGATCTTTTAAGATAGCACAGAAATTCAATAAAATAACATTAACTGTGTTGAATTTGCTTCCCAAAATGTGATTCTTTTTTTATCTGTTTTGCCTTTTTAGTTCACATCTTTAACAAGAAATTGTTGTTTCTAGAGACCTTTTTTGCTGTGAAATATTCATTTTTTAGTTTAGTGGAAAGAGATTTTTCAACACCACAAAAAATTCGGCCAAATAACGAAAGAGTTCTTCCCGCTATTTTCCAAACGATTTCTTTGCCCGTTGTTGCGTCTTCAAGTCAAAAACTCCATTTCGCTTCGCCCTCTATATTTTACGCCGTTTTCTTTCGGTTTTAGTACTTATCTTTTAAGATCTCATTTCCTTATTGTTTAGAGCGAGAAGCTCTAATGCAAAGAGCTTTAAAAGAAGACGATAATCGAGTAAAACTAATGTTTAGGAGATATTTTAGCAAGGTATTAGCTAAGGAACTAGTTTTTGTACGAATCCTGCCTACTTAAAGCGTTGATATTACCAGATCACCCGCGACCATGCCAAGATATAAGTGTAAGCTAATACATAAAGATATAAATTCGGTCGATATCATAATGTAAGCTCCTCTAAGGCTTGATTAATGTTTTATGATTCGGAAAAGAAAAAAAAAGAAAAAAAAAGAAAAAAGAGAGTAGGTTTTAATTTTTATCCCCGAAGTTCAAGATCGCATTCATATGGAGTTCAGATAGTTCTCTTTCCAATCGTACAAGAGTGAAATCTCGATGCACAAAACCACCGATTTTCCTTTCAATTTTGACTCAAATTTTTTTCCTGTCAAAAAAACACGGAAAAAACAAAAAAACATACACGACTAGCCTTTAAATGTTATTGAAGCTTTACCTCTTTGATGATTCTGCCTATATATACTCTAATGAAGAGAGAAAATACTCGCGACTCGGCAAAACTGCGTGTATTTGAATCAGGCTTCGTTTTAGTTTTCTATGAATAGCCGAGCTGTAATGATCTATTGTTGGCTTACATTGTACGAAACAAAACACTATTGGCAGAGACGGTGGAAAATTTATAGGAAACACGAGAGAAAACCATCACATTACACGGTATTTGAATGTAAAGTGCGAATAAACCACAAATGCAAGTCACACGAGTCTTGAGAAAGAAAACTCGTTGCCACACCGAAGTGGATTCGAAACACAGCACGCTAACAGTTCAACTACCAGATTGCACTCTCTGAGATACACAGTTTAGAAAAAGAATTAAAGAATTAACTTTTATTAACTGTAGCTAAGAGTGTTTAGACATATTTCCGCGAAAATTCAACAAGCAATACACCTTATTTGTTCGTCTGATGTTTTGCCCAATTCAGACCACATGTCGATCATTCCCTCGAAAGAAGATCAGTTCTATATTTGAGTTTTTTACATACTCATGTATATATGCCCGAACGTTCAAGTTTTTGATAGAACACAAAGTAATAATACTCAAGGGAATGACAACTAGTGGTCTGAAAAGGGAGACCAAATAACAGCGCGGTATACACTTGTTTCAAAAACGTTGTCGGTTGGAGGTCTGAAATCTGAGACCGCGTATTACGCTGCAAAATGTAATTTATTCACAACCGAGAATGTAGTTTCCTTTTAAATTCACTGGAATATGAAGCACAACCTTTGAGGTAGAAATGTGATTTTAGCTAGAAAACATAAAAGCACAAAAATTATGTTTTGTCTCAGATCGCCCATTTCAGATCTCGTACCGACAACGATTTTTGAAATAGGTGTATTCTTCGTCTGAATGTTACATCATCGCGGTGACCATGTCTTTGTCTTTTGACTCTCATGGAAAAGCTTGCAAATGCGTACTTTAGACATCTATAGTTTTGCGTGACTAGACAGCTCTGCAGTTCTCTCTCTAGTTCATCTCTCATCAGCACGCTGAACTTGTCCTTGAAATGGCTGAGATTCTTGACATGTTTTCAACCCATAAGCGGTTTTGAATAAGTTAATCGTAGTATGGGAACTTTTTGAGGTTCGTCGTCGTATTGTTATAGATCTAAAGTCACATTGTTGCGGTAAAATGTTAGCCCGCGTGATATATTTTAGTATTTATTATTCGGGGTTGTCTTTCTTGTTCCCTCCTCCCATCTACTTAATCTTATTTTTGTAAAATGTTGTCTTTTGTATGTGTAGAAAATAAAAACCTTTGAACCTTTTAAGTACCATTTTCATGGTGCTCCATAATAGATATGAATAAGTTAACGTTTAATTTTCAATCGTTCATTTTATTCCAGATTACCGTTTCAATTTGGATGTCCCGAATTCTTCCTGTCAGTCTCAGTCCCTGGCGACCTTAAACACCACAGCCCCTGGTAGACGAAACTTTTCCATCTGCACAAAATCACATAAAAAAATTCTAAGGTGTACAATGTCAACCAAGGAATCGAAATACCTCCACCATAACGGCCGATGGATCGATTTTGATTCTGAGAAAAGGAGAGGATTTTCAATTGGTGTGCTACAGTTGAAGGTACGATTTCCAAATATTTTGACCATCACAACTATTCTATTCAACTATTCTATTCTGGAATTCAGTAAATCAAACCGGGTGTAMCGTAATATCGTTCCTAGAGACTGCATTCGTTATGTTCAGCACCGAGAAACTGACCAGAAAAAACGCAGGCTCTTGGGGCGTGATTGTTTTACATAATAGTCTGTTTGTTTTACAAGTGTCTGGGACCAAGGTTGTTTTAACGACTTCCTTACCTACCGCAAGCATCGTCAAGAAGTTTGAAATAAAGACTAAAAAAGATGGGGCGTGATTGTATTACATAATAGTCTGTTTGTTTTACAAGTGTCTGGGACCAAGGTTGTTTTAACGACTTCCTTACCTACCGCAAGCATCGTCAAGAAGTTTGAAATAAAGACTAAAAATGATTATAAAAACTAAATTTCATAGCCGCCATGTTAGTTGAATTAAACAGGAGATTTTTCTTTGGTTTCTTTCGTTATATCTACCAACATTTAGGGCCATACTGAAAACCACTATTAGTGAGTAGGTTTTACCCTCATTAAAGATTATCAACACATGTAGTTCATTCACTTGAGAGTCACAAACCACTCTGTAGTCCTTGTAGATACATATACATACTTTCCGCCATTTTGAGGAAAGTTGCATTCGTAAAATGTTTCAAAAGATCGATCTTTATGGTAAAAAAAGACCCTTGGTAAGGTATATTACTCTCTAATGTTTATTATTTCGCATCTAGTGGCAGGCTATCACAGAACCGCTTCTCAAGGGAAGTGTAGTAATGTTGGATGTCACATGCTACGAAGAATTTTTTTCGCATATGGGAATACAGGAAATTACAGTCAATTCCCGGCTTCTGTTCAAGATAGCGGGCTCCGAAATTTGTAAGTGAAGCGAATTTTAAAACAGACAGTCTACTTTTGCTTGTCAAGTGTTGATGGCATGTGGTGTCCACGTGATCGTGACATTCCTTTCTCGTGTGGCGGATATCCACGTTGTCACAACACGTGACGAATGCTATCCACATCTTGACAAGCATCCAAGGCAACACGTGCTATATACCATGACAAGCTGTTCACGTGATCACGTCACGTGAATAAGCTGCAAATGCCATAATTTGGCAATAAATGTTAACGTAAATCAAACATTCAATTTTTTAATCAAATTTACTTCACACTTTGGAACACACACTTTCAGGGCAAGGCTCAAATGTTTTCCAAATAATTGACATAGCCAATCCCACGAATAAATCTGGCGGATTAGTTGTCATGCCTACGACTATCACCAACACCGTATCCATAGCAACTATGGTAGACTCTAGCACAGCTTCCTATGATAAAGAAAAGCTGAACGTCATACATGTTCCTGGTGAAGTGGATATGATTCTTGTGGTAGTGGCTGCGGTGCTGGGTACTCTTCTCTTCATAGCCATCGTTTTTGCGTGTATCGGTGTGGGCTTCATCGTCATGAGAAAAAAGTAAGTGTTTTGATGATGGTGTTTTCACTAGGGATGGTCTTTTGATGGCTTTCTTTACAAAAATTATTGTGTACGACAGGAATTATGTACTATGTAAGGATAAGGCACCAAGTGGATCTAGTACCACAAAGATCAAGTGCAATGGTTATTATTTAATAAGGAAGTAATTCTATAGGATTTTAAAACACGGACAAATTCAGCTAGGGGCACTTAATTGGTATTACATGCCCGTGGGGTCCCTTATCACTAACACCAAATCCGCCATTGCTGCGTAGACACGGTTCGTCTTGTACAAATTTAGTTCCTGTACAGCATTTGTTTGACATTGTATTTCATTTCCTTTGCAGAAAAAAGGCCCCCCTTGGCGCAAGTAAGTAAAATATTCGCCTGTTAATTTTTTATTTCCAAGAAAATCATTTTATAAAAAAGTTTCTTGACAATCAAAAACTAACCAAATGGACTCGTATTATAGTCTTCGCGTCTGCTCAATAAAGGTATCCGTTGAATATAGGTTTATTTTACAGTAAAAATTTTGGGGCCCGAGCTAGTACTTGTGAGCATAATAAAATGTGTTCGCTTAATGGAGTTACCATCGTAATTTTGTTTTGATCTAAGGTCATTTACATTGTAATGTAAGAACTTTTTCTCCACAGATAATCCACTGTATGAGCGTGGTCCTGACATGACACTGATAGAAAACAGAGGATCCCATCAGACTTTCCCATTCAACTCGCATTTCTATCAACCCCTTGTTGAAAACACCCGCGAGGTACAGGGGAATCCAGGAGAACCGATATATCAAAGTTTGGACGAACAAGTTCGAGTCAGAAGACCAATTCTTACTGGGTACGAAGAGGTAAGACCACTGGTATGGGACAGACTTGACTGGACAAGTGGTGTAACTCGGGCTTGTGCGGGAACAGGGTTTTAGGAAGAATGACACTATTTTTGAACAACGACATATCATCATCACATAGTTAATAGTGGGGACTGGATCCCCTCTATCAACTATGATCATCAACAGCAGCAGCAATCATAACAACATGCAGCTAATAGCAGCAACTGCAGCTGCAACGGGAAAAAAGGAAAGGCAAGCAGAGAGCAAATCAAGTGGCAATGAATCCAGATCATTTCAAGAGAGGTGGCCATATATAGCTTCCTCTAGTTCAGATTTTACATTTTTCTCAAGGTCCCAATTAGTTTTTCTTTGAACTTCGAAAAGGCGAAAAGAACATTTCATTTAGGACGAAAAAATTAAAAGAAAATCCAATTCTGGGAAAGGAAGAGAGAAACGACAAGTTTGATTAATTTGACTAATATTTTACCAGGATCCTCCGACAGCTCTTGGTGTGATTCTCAAAGAGGTCCTGTAAATCGGCAACGACCCATTGTTTTTATTTGCCCGAACGATTTCCTAAGCATTAACCAATGATTTGTCTTAACAGAATCCAAACCGGTGTAGTCTTGCTGACTGTGACATGACGTCAGATGGCTATCTCATACCAAGTAAGTCTCTACTTAAAACCTGGTTCACACTAACGAGGGAATCGGAACTGATCAGTCGGAAGCAACATATTCATACTCAGTAGTGTGAGCCATTGAAGACAGACCATTAGATAATTCCGGTTGGGAGGGGGTTGTGTAAATCCCCAAAAACGTTTCAACCAAGCACCTCACCTATGAAAAATATCGTGCGACCTCTACTTTTAGTAAAGAAATATCGAGCAAACAAAAATAAATTGCGTGCCGGGGGTTGTTACAAAACAAATTGTGATTGTCATTTTAACAGTGATTATCATTTTAACAGTGATTGTCATGTTAACAGTGATTGTCATGTTAACAGTGATTATCATTTTAACAGTGATTGTCATTTTAACAGTGATTGTCATTTTAACAGTGATTGTCATTTTAACAGTCATTGTCATTTTTCATACTTAGGTGTTTTAAAAATGTGATACGATTTCGATTCCGACGGTAATGTGGATCATTTTACGTTATTCCGCAAGATCCTTCGTCCAGCATTAACCTGGCTTGTGTTATAAATGCATAAAAGGAAACGAACTAGTTCTTGCTGTAGATAAGCTTTACGTGGAGTTATTTCCTTAGCTTTTCGTTATGCTTTGAGGGTCTTTGTCCAGGTTTCCAAGTTTTCCTTATCGTAAAATTTGTCGAGATTCTAATTTACCTCGCTCTGTGGTTGGGATACAATAACAAAATAAAATCATATCTTGGTACGTATCTTAATTTGAATCCCCATTTTTTCTAGCTGATGGTCACACATTGCCAGAGCCACCCACCACACCTGTATCCCGTGAAGACGTAACAGAAGATTCATACATAGACGTGTTACCCGAGAAATCTCCCACTGAGGATAAAAGTTTGAATTACAAGTATGACAGACCAGAAGAAATAATATCAGATCACAGTCCAACGATATCACTGAGAGAGCTCCCGAGTGACGTTGAATCCGATCAGGAATCGAATTATGATGATGTAAAGGTTGCTTCTAAGCAAAGAGAACAGACAAAGGAGGAGCTTGAGAACTTCACCGAGGGAAAGGACCTCGATTCCGAAGGAAAAGAACATTGTAAGGTGTGTAAAGGAACGATCGGAAATTATGGGATTGGTGAGGATTGCAAACCAGTCAAGTGTCTTTGTGATGTTACAACGAAACTTTGAACCACGTCGATGAGTATGAGTTCATAGGAACGCGAGGATGATGAAAGAAATGTGGTAGTCGGGGAATTCGTAGACGACAAAAAATCTATGGGATTCCAAAGTACGACGACCGCAGTTTGCTTGTCAAATAAATGGCTTCAAAGGAGGAACATGGATATGGAGAATGTCGCATTTGGATCGTAAACGACAAACCATCTTGTATGCAAGTCAAACAAACGACGAAACGTTAGTCAAATAAATGGCTTCAGAGGAGGAACATGGATATGGAGAGATGTCGCATTGGGATCGTAAACGACAATCCATCTTGTATGCAAGTCAAACAAACGACGAAACGTTAGTCAAATAAATGGCTTCAGAGGAGGAACTTGGATATGGAGAGATGTTGTACTGGAATTGCAAACGACAAACGATTTTGTATGCAAGTCGACATCAAACAAACTAAGAAAAGTTAGATGGAGGGAAGAAATCGCGGACAAAAAACGTCCTTGCGTGTCGGCGATGCCGTCAACACCGAATCTTTATTTGTAGTCCATAAAATTCCTTCAAAGGCACGTCAAAGAAAGGAAGTTGGCGCTTAAGTCCAAGACGCACCAGGCTAGCTGTTTTTGTGATATGCTACACAACTTAAAGTCTGGTAGACAACATGGCCGCATTGGGGTCACGCGGAAATGATTAGATATTGTGCTGAAATCGTGGAACACAAACGATTGCAAAAACATTACCTTTTATGTAGTTATGTCGTGTTGAAGAAACTTCGAAAAATCGATTAAGTACAAAAAATATGTATAATGAAACAAAAATAGCATGATAGCTGAGATCTAGAAAGGCAAAAAATTAGACTGAGAATATATATGGTAAATCATACGACAAATGATCTTGTACAAATTGCCCCATTTCACCAGGACGCCACATCACAAAACAATCTTTTGTTTTAACGATAATAATTTTTTAGAAATATATACAAACTTAGAAAAGCAATGAGAGCCACTAAATACCGTATAAATTGCGGCAAAATAAACATTGGTTTATAATTTTTTTGAAAGTTAGATCAGACACATTCGAGTTGTAAATGCAGCGGCAGGGTAAAATTAGTTCACATTCTTACTGTTCTTCGCCATTCTGTCCCCTCATAAACAAGCAGTGAGACGTCAAGGTGAAATAAGGCTAGTGATCACGCTGTAACTTTAAAGTTCAACCCCGTCTTAAAGACATATATTAATAATTTGTTGAAATATAAAGTTTTTTATGTTTAGATGTTTGTATGATTTGAATATGTCAGACCATGGTAATAATCACAAATAACGACACGGGCGAAAACGCACTGCGCATGCTCTGAAGTTTGGCGGGAAATTCGTAGACGCGTCGTGTTTACAATTGGAGATTTACCAGCGATTGGTTATCATTTTAAACTTTTGGCTGTTCGTGGAATGTTGGTGCGTATTTTTTCCTAGCACATCAACCTTGTTGTTTTCTTTCCATGGTCAAGTGATACGAGAGAAATTCGCATAATAAAAACGTCTGTAAATCCCCAATGGTTTGTATTGTAAACACGACGCATATACCAATTTCCCGCCAAACGTCCCGAGCATGCGCTGTGCCTTTTTTCACCCGTGTCTCCAGTAACTGGATTAAGCACAAAAAATAATTAAAATAGGGGATTGGGCAATGCATTTAATGTTGGATGAGAATGTTCTCCATCCTCACACACACGGCCCCACAAGATTTCCTTGAATTTATTTTTCCTCTGGTTTTGCATGTTACCTGTAGGTTTTCACCTACAGTTTTCAGTTCCCCTATTCTTGGGGTGCATAACACGTCTTATCATATGACCCGTATCTGCCCGGGCGCGCGCTCTTAAAAAAACCTTCGCAAAAATGGCGTGAGCAGGGCCGTACGGCTTTGAGCGAGCATGGCCGTAAGAATCTAAAGCTAAATATCTCGCGCGGAAAAGACGCCGGAATCACACCAAATTAAAAAATTTCCACTCTGGAGACCGTATTCAAATTAAAAGCGAGCGTATAGCAATCAACTGGATGAGCAAAATAATGTGGCCAGTCGCTACTGAAAAACGACAACTAACAACTAATAATGTGGCTAACTAACCTGGACCTGCATTGGATGCACCAATACTGATTGCTACCAACAGTAGGGTTAACTCCCAAATTGCCGTTTTCCTTGCCATGGTTATCTTGTCTAGTTTTCTAAAAGAATAATAATAATAATAATAATAATAATAATAATAATAATAATAATAATAATAATGAAAACTTTATTGTGATGCTTTTTGTTTTACA